GCTCTAGTACCCTATATAGTAGGTAGCTGGAGGGTCAGGGAAGGAGCTACATTTGAGATCACTAAACTCCGAATCCTGAACCCCCAAAACCCCGAACCATAAACCATCCTAAACCCTAAACCAAAAAAGCCCTTAACAGATTCTTTTAGGGCTGGGGGAGTGTTTCTGCTTCCGTTTAGACTAGCAGAAAGCAAAGTTTCTTCAAAGACCATAAACCTCTAAACCCCTAAACCCTAAACCCCTAAACCCCTAAATTACTAAATCCCTAAGGCCGCCAAACCCCTAAGGCCCCTAAACCCCGTCTTTTGCGGCGAGGCGCCGCGTCAGCGACCACTGCGAGATGCCGCCACCGAGACTCAGGCAGTCCAGACGGGTAGTTCTTAGTTCTTAAAGTTGGGCTTTAAGGTTTAGGGTTTGGGGTTTGGGGTTTTAGGGTTTAGGGTTTAGGGCAAGGGTACGAGGCCTGGATCCGCGAGATCCCGAATCGGGAATCGAAGGTGCTCGAGAAGGTGAACCTGGAATTCGTCTGTGCTGCTCAGAAGACCTCTAGCAGGCTTCTTCAGGACAGCGATTTGCGAAGCCTGGTCTTCGAGTTGGAAGAAAGCTGGGGCAAGGCCTCCCCTTTTTTCCCGGCTTGGGACTTTGGAAAAAGTCGTGCAGAAAGCCACGCCGATCGGCTGGACCCTTCGCACCGTGAAGTTCATGCTTGAGACACAGATAGCCTCTCCTCGCGACTTCAAGGTCATTTTCGGCTGCCAAAGCCCACAAGAAACAGCTGAAGTTACGATTTTTGTTAGGGTACTAGGTTACCAAGTTCAGCGTAGTTAAGGCAACATGTTAGCTCAGGCCACGGAACTCTAAACATGTAGGTTTGGGTGAGCTGCAGGCACATGCCGAACACCCAGCAAAAACACCATAAAGCACCCTAAACCCTAAACCCTAAACCCTAAACCCCAACCCTAAGCTTTCAACCCAAAGCCTTCAACTTGAAACCCTGATCACTACAGTAGCCCTCAACTAGAACCTTAAATCCTAAGGTTGATGATAAAAAGTCTTGCAGTACCCATAACAAGGAAGATACCCTAATTCCCATCGTTTAGGGTCCTTAAGGTAATGTAGGATTTAGATCATCAGCCGTAAGTCCACCTACATGCCAAACCTGAGCCCAGACCCTCACGTTCTCAAAGTTCCAAAGTCACTGAGTGAAGATCAGAATCGAACTTAGCGTCTAGGGTTTAGTGGTTTTGGGGTTCAGGGGTTTAGGGTTTAGGGATTTAGGGCTTAGGGTTCAGGCGTCTCGGTTCGAGCAAAATTGGGTTGCGCGTCTGCCTTGCAGTGCGTAGCTCTTTTTGTATTCCAGACCCCAGCCGGGCCCCCGCGTCTCGGCGCCGCCATTTACCATTCTGACTGGTGTGGCTTACACAGCTGCCTTTAGCTAGGCCTGTGTATCTTGTCCCTTGGGCCATCGCGGCGGGGACACTGCCCTTTTACCTTCTGGTATATTAGGGCCATCCATTGCTGTGGGCTCTGGATATTTGGGCGCGGGTGCCCTTTCTCATCTTCGTCTTCACGCACTTCCCCGTCACTGCTTTTAGCTAAGCTGACGGTCTCTGGCTCCTGGGGGGCGCTGGAAGTGCATGCCATCGCGGAGGGTCCGCCTGGTTTGGGTTGCCCTTCTCCTTTGTGGATTTTGGTTATTGTGGATTGGTTCCGAGGACGGGCGGCCGTCCCCCATCACCTTCGTGGCACAGGCGGAAACGCCGCCGGCGAGCCACCTTGCGGAAGAAAGCGCGCAGCAAAGGATTACTTCCTTGGGAAGCTGGTATTCTACAGAGGCACCACGGCAGCATGCCGCCAAAAGGAGGCCGAGGAACGAACACCACCACCTCCCAGGCGAAGAGCAAGGGCAAAGGAGCTGGTGCAGAAGACCATGTGGACATAATCCATTTTGGATTACCACAACCGGTCTCCTCAGCTCTGCAAGCAATATCTTCGAGATCCACGGCAGGCCTCTTTCGAGATGCGACAGCTCTGCCAACCGATCAGACTGCGCAACAAGTTGCTCAGTCGCGTGCAAACACTTTAGACCGTTTGAGCAAACGGCTCAACGGCAACATGAAAGCCAAGACCGCTTTGAAAGAGGCTGCCCAGGCATGGCTCGGAAAATTTGGCCAGCACCTGGTAGCCCTCACAGACCGCCTGCACAACATCGCGAACAAGATCGATCAGGACCAAGCAGAGGCTGTCAGTGCTCTACAGACAGCCACTATGACTCTGGAGGTCGACCCACAGGAGCAAATCCGGGTGGCCTTAGCCAGCATGGGGCCTGTTTGGGGACCAGGCCAAGAGCAGGAAGTGTTGCGGCTTGCTTCTCAGCTCAGAGCATTCAGCGCAGTCCCGGACACAGCCCTCAGCTATCCTGTTATGGCTTCTGGTTCCGCTCCCTCGCTGGCCTCCGGAGCTCCTTCACTTGGCTGGCAAATGGCTGGGGACAGATCGCCGACTTTTCCAGCTGCGGGGACTCCGATGGACACCACTGTGGATGGCCCCACGAAAAGACGCTGGAGCTTTCGGAGCACCAAAGCGGCCCGTCCTTCCAAGAGCCCGAGGCGAGAACTCCATCTCGCGGCGGAACCGTGGAATCGGATGAGCACCGGCCTCACTCCAGAGAGGCCTCTCCGAATTCCTGCCAGCCAGGTGGACGAAGAGCTTATCCCTGCGGCGCCGGAAAGCCCCATGATGACCTGGGAGGCGGCGTGGAAAACCGTTGCTCACTACTGTTTGGAGCATGGCCGGGAACCGGTGGGGCAACTTGCCAGATCAGAAGTGCAGGAAGCCTCCTTCCCACCTGTGCACGGCGGGCAGCCCGAGATTGCCCAGCAACACTGCGAGGATCTGTGGCAGTCACTTCCGCAGTGGGTAGAGGTCGACTCGGATTTGACTGGTTTGGGAGATATTCTTGTCAGCCTTCAGGATTTCTTGCGGGAATGCAGAACTCACCAAGACGCTCTCCCTTTCCTGAGGCAAGGGGTTCTCCTACTGGCTCTGGCAGTGGAGGGCAGTATCTATGGGCTCAGCGACTTTGGGCCTTCGACTGCCCAGGAATGGTTGTTCCCTGCAGGTATCCTGACGCAGAACATCACCACATGTGGGCACATACCTGTCGAGTGGAGCTCTCTTGCCCTGAAAGCCCTTGTCATGCTGCCTTGCCCCTTCCATGCAGCTTTCACGGAGACTCCGGCGGACGAGGCCGACCTCTGAACTCAGGTGGTGCATCTCAGCTGTCGGATGCAATGGTCCCTGGATCCTAGCCTAGTTACTGAGGTAGGTCTGCCTACCGGGCGGCTACCCTGCGGTTGGGTCCTACATCCGGAAGTCTACGGTCTGTACATAGCTCTTTGCTGTATAGGGTTGTACAGGATCTTCCGCTGCCTGCGCTCTTGGAAGCTAGGAAGAGAGGGCCCAAGCAATGTGTACATAATACGCCCTGTCAGAGGTGCCCTTGCTACTGGACTTTGGGTTTTAGCTGTTGTCTGCCCGTGGCGCTTCGGTCTCCTGTGCATTGCCAGTCTCCTCGACATTGGCCTTCCTCTCAGCTCGGGGCTTTCTGTCCCACTTAGGTCTTGGAGACTTAGTTCCGCAGCTTCTGCCCACTTCCCTGTTTGGTTTTCTGCTTTGCAAACTCCTTGGAGCATCATTTTCCTTCAGGGTCGCTGGCCCCATCGCCTCTGTGCTTGGTCGATGGTACGCGCATGGATTCGTCGATCCCAAGTGTCTCCGGCATCGATTTGGCTTTGGTCTTTGCACTTTGCCCTGGCCCTCGCTCGCCGCAGGATACGCCGTACCGTGTCGGGAATGTCCGGCAAGGGGATAAGATTTCAAGCTTTACATGGAGGCCCCATTCCGGCTGCTCTGAGGTTGCCAAAATCTGATGGTTGGGGGGTCACCGAGCGCCCTCGGCGTGGTGTCAGCTCGCGGCCGAAGCCCGCGTGGAAAGCTCTGTTCCTTATATATCTTGTTGGGGTTGATGCCAGGGCCCTTCAGGCTGGCTCGATGCTTATGGGGGCTCTGGTCCTCGACCGTCAGACGCCAGTCGGCAGTGTGCAATTGTATGCACATGGCTTCCACGAGGGTCGTCCTGTCTTCAGTACTGGCCCTGCTCCAGCTACCACACAAGAAGATGACCTATGTGAAGTCTTGCCCTTAGGTAGGCCAGGCAACCTCTTCCTCTCCCCTAATCGTAGGCCCAGGCGGCAGATTGCTTTCTTTCTGGGAAGGTCAGGTGGTGAGGCGGATTTAGAACCTTGTCCCATCATCTTCTCGGTCGACGAACGCCTCCATGGGGATTGTTTGCACAGACGGTTGCTTCTGTCGGTCGGGGCTGGGGATCGCCGGTTCACTGCTTTTCCCTTGCACAGCACCCTACCGGGCTTGCCTTCGGAACAGTTGCTTTTCTGCCCGCCTGACTTAGGTTGGAACTCCACAGGCGTTCCCTTAGTTATGTTGGGTTATAACTCGTTAGGAGGAGTTAGGCCCTAACGCCGGCTAACTTTTTGTATCTTTTTTCATGGCTTTCAAGCAGAAGTACGAGTTGAACTGAGAATGGCAACATTTGCGAGGCATGTGAAATAGGTTCAAGTGGACAAAAGAGCTCCAAATTTCAAGAAACTGAGCCAAACGAAGAGAAAAGTATTAAAAAGGCAACCTTAACTCCTAAACCTTGAAAGCTATGCGGACAACATTTTCTTTCTCAGTGCAAAAGGGTCACGCAGTCACCTTCGGCGAGACTCCAACAAGGCCGACAGATGTTGCAAATGTCATTTATGTCGGCTAGCACAGGGGCCGAAGCGTTAAAACTCCACTTGCTGTGTGTGCAAGTCTGGGGATCGACAGCAGGATCCGTTCTGGACAGTGTTCTAGCAAGGGCCAGGAACTTGGTTCTGTCTCGCTGCAGAAAGCCATCCACGTGCAGGGCCAAGTCTGCTGTGAGCACGTAGAAGCCCTTGGTGAGCTCGCCCCCTTTGACCAGCAGTGCGGAGCTGACCTGCACGGCAGAACAGCCCAGCTGCTGCTGCAACCTTGCATCTGTCTGGATTGGCGGACGGAGGCATGGCTCCAGGCTGTACGCGACAGCGGCCTCGACGTCCGCCTTGAGCAAGCGCAGCAGCACCGAACTTTCGAAAGTATCCCAGTTACAGATCGACAGCGCCTGCTGCTTGAAAGTTTTGTTTTTGCGTTCCGTCACAAAGCAGTCAAGCATCCGGCGCATGGCTTGAGCTTGTTCTGCCAGGTGCAAGCTAAAGTGGTGCTTGGGTCGCACCTTTTCTCGCGTGTAGCAAGACTTGAAGCCTTCGAGGTGCTGCTGCTGCAAGTCCAGCAGTCTGGAGCATGAAGCGGGGCAGGCCTCCAGCTTTAAGAGCTTCACTTGCATACAAACGAGGCACAGCAGGGTAAGGCTTTGTACAGCATCTGCAGGCACCCCTGCTGGCTGCAGCACTGTTCGGGCGTAGTACACCAGTAGTGGCAGCAGGGCCATCGTTTGCTTTGAGTCGCCTTTGTAGTCCTCGGCGAAGGACAGGAGCTTGGCGTGGAGGAGCGGTGCAGCTTGAGCGCTGTCCACACCAGCCTTCCAAGGCAGATCTCCGAGAGCAGCAAGCTGACTCAGTTTGAAGCCGATGCTGTCTCTCGCAGCACGGAGGAAGAGGCTGATTTCTAGTCCCACGATGCCGTTGCACCAGAGACAGTGCATCGCGTCGTACATACAGCGTTCCACCGTTAGCGGGCAGGACTGTCGGCAAACGATGCTGCTAGGGTTGTAAATCCAACCCAAAAGTTTTTGCGACTCCTCGAGTTTGCCTTTCGTCTTGAGGCCGGAGAGGAGTCGCATGTATTCGCAAACCTGCTGCTTCGTTTGTGGCAGAAAGGCTTCGAAGTTGTGGGAAGATATATCGACGAATCCCGCTCTTTCGCCATGTCGGATAGCGAGGGCATTGCGACACCTCAGACACGGCCTCATGCCTGCGTGCGACTTCGCGCTGACTGAGCACTTGAGAGCCGGCTCATCTGCGAGGAGCGAGACGAGCGTCGTTCGAAGAAGCTGTGGTCCTGCAGATCCTTCCACAGCGAAGCCTTCGAAGGGCTCCGCCAGCTTGTCCAGGAGGGCAGCGATCACCGCCGGCAGGCCTCCCTGAATTTGATTCAGCAGCGTCTGGCGGATGCTAGCTATCGTGCACCATGCGAACTCGGACGTGCAGGCTCGTTGCAGGTTCATCCAGGTCACATAAACCAAATAACTTCGACGATGGTTATCGGGTCGCAAAACGTTGCCGGGAACCGCCTCATCCACATACAGGACCGCGTGCATCCCTGCAGTTCCTGCTTGCAGGATGGCCTGAGAGAGCAAGTCTCCAAACGAAGGACAGGCTCGGCATTTCGCTTGCACAAGACGATCTAACTGCACCATCGGAATGTCGATGAGCCTTCCGTCCTTTGTGCTGGGCACTTGCAGAGTGCACAGCATCTGCTTCTGCTCCTTCAGCAGAACGTCCTGTCGTCGACTTCCTACTTGATTCGAGAGCCGCTTCAGGATCTGCTGCAGCATGGCATGCGTGAGGTTTGGCAGGCCCTGCAACCTGTCTCTCGCTGTC